TTTATTAAATATTTCGTGAGATTCGCCCATTTGTGCTCTGTGTAACTAATATATTTGTTTCAGATTATTTTTCGTAATATGAGTCATGTTAACAAAATAAATTGATTTATTAAAGAAAATATATTACATAATTTTCTGTATTATATTTCATGTTTTCAAATAATTATTATAAGCTTATTTTTGGCAACTATTTTGGTAACCATTAAAAGTCTTTTTCTTTCTATATTTTTGTAAAGTTTATGATTTATCCTAATTACAAAATGCATAGCAAACTTACTCATTCGAATATAATTTAAAGAAAAATTTTGGCAAGTTTTACTAAATTATGTGACATAAGTTTTATGTTACAATTTTTCGATATTAATGTCATAGAAATTGTATTTTGTTGGCTAAATTTAATTTAAATGGATGACTATTACAAAGTTATTATTAAATCAAAGGATAAGTTTGCATCCTTATGATGTTGGAAACATGCATAAACTTGCAACCAAGTTCATTATGTTTAACGTAGTGCACCGTTTAAATTTAAGTAACTTTTAAACAAAGCCAGGATTATTGGCATAAAACAATCTTTACTATTATGTTCTTCAAGTATAACTTCCTTGGAATATTTATTAAGACCTCATTAGTATTTACTTCAACGTGCTTAAGAGGTATTTCTTAGTTTTAACGAATAAAAGGATTTCAAGTTGTCTGAAACATTTTTATAATAATTTTATTTAAATATTTTTCATAATTATTATGAAAAATATTTAAATAAAATTATTTTGTATTACTTCAGACATTTTTTGTTCTAAATTTTTTAACTTATTCAACTTAGTTTCTATGGTAACGCTTTTCGCTTTTGACGGTTGCAGTGACATTTCTATGCAAGTTTCAACATTTTAAAGTATTATGAGGGACGTAATTTTTACGAAAGAAAATTACTTATAACTGTATTTCACCTAAAGGAAAATTTAACGGTAATTTTAACGTCAGAATTTCTACTTAATGGTAAATGTTACTCAAAAGTCATAATTTTACGTTATTAAGACCACTTTATAACCGTCAATAATTCCTATTCGCCTGGTATTTTTTAGGGTTATTAGCGGTAATAGATACTTAATATTTACTAAATTAATATTTTTTTAAAAATATAATAAGGGAAGTTTTAGTTATTAAAAAATGATTAAAACTAATTGATTTTTAAAAGATTTTATAAATTTTTGTAGGTTTTAAATTTTGTTGAATTTTTACCCAAGCAATAATTTTTTTAAACTGTGAAATATTTAGAGGGCATATAATTTTTAAGATGTATCGTGCCTATTTTTATTAATAAAAAAATGTGCGTTTGAGTTTTAATGCAAAATATTATTAGTTTTGACAATTTAAGTTATATTTATTATGGGGTGGCCTTTATTACTTTGTAAGTACCTACCATTTTGTAAAATATAATTTAAAAGAACAAAGAAATTACGAATGTCAATGTTTTAGAAAGAAAGAGAAATCAGTTAGTAATTATTTCTTTATTATTACGTAAATTTGTGGTATTTATAGTTTTTATTACGCTATTCTCTTAGTAAATCAAAAAGGTTATTATGTAGGCAAAATAACGAAATTAACTATTCCCCAAATTTGGTAATTTTTCGTATCTATACCGTTATAAACCGTTTTGGTTAACCGTAAAATAGTATATTATGTATCAAGTTTGATAAACGCCATTTTAGCGAGTGCTTAAATTAATGAGTGTATAGAAAAGTTTATAAACGAGGTGCATACTATACTTTTTCTACGACAAATACTTATTATTATCTTAAAATGATTTAAATCAAAAATTTGTATAGAGCGCCATCTATGATACAATAGAGGAATCTGTGTGTCACCGTCAAATGTCAAATTTTTATTTTTTATAAACACAATTATAAAGGTTATAAATCGAAATGTATTTCTTGAAAATTAACAGTTTTTCACAGTGAAAGTAAAGAAAATGTTTTATGAGCACTTTACAGTGGAGTCCGTGCCCGAATTTAAGTTACAATGTTCATATAAACTTTTCAAATATTGCCGTTGAGAAACTATTTAACACTTTTGTATTTTTGTATTGAGATAAAAAAAATAATTTTCACATTTAGTATTATTTCACAAGAAAGACAATTTATTTTAGCGATTGTATGACATTTGACAACTGTCAACTAACTTAAAACTAACTTCAGCCCGTGACTAAAAAGCTGTTGCTAACTTCAGCCCGTGACTAAAGCGCCATAAAGCCATAACTTGTCAATGTGTATTTAAAAGGTCACTTAGTGTCATGGAAACATGTACGATAAAGGGCGGTTTAAAGGTGGGAGTAGAAAAAATACTTTAAAGTTGACTTAGTAGTAAATTTGTAGTTATTTAAACTTAAAACGCTGTTTGGGTAGTAATCCTTTATTGCTAAATATTAAAGATAATAATATTAACATATTGGATAAACTGCATTTCAGTTTTGTAGGGCAGAAATTTTATTAATGAATATCTTATTGTCCGTATTCTCCTGATTAATGACTTTCTTTTGTTACTAAATATTAACATAAAATTATTTGGGATACGCACTTCCAAACATAATATAAAGCCATTTGTTCTAATAATCTATTGTTTCTTATACATTTTTTAGAAAATATTTGGGTTGCCATCTATTCTGGATAGCTTTATTCAGTTAAATTAACATCAAATTTTTAAGAATAATAAGAAATTGCTGACAAAATATTGTACCATACATTTATCTAAAAACCAGTTTGTAAGTAAGATTAATGTACATTAAATAGAAAATCTGAAGGGATACTAAACACAACAAAACTTTGCAGACTTGATAGTGTTTGACATTTAGTTGAAAAGTTATTTATCTAATAAATGAATTAAGTATAAAGTGTTTGCGAGTAAAAACATTAAAATTGTCAGTGAGTACACAATTCATATACATGTACAAGTATATAATTAATTATACCTAATTAATTTGATTAAAAAAAATTTTGTACAATTTAATTATTATTTTTTTAATATTTTTGTTAATATACGGGGTAAGTCATTTAACTTGAAACTTTGAAATATCTCAGTATGCATTTTACGAAAAAATAAAAATTAAATGATTCGAGGGGGGAAATCAATCATTACTAAACATATATAACAAATATTAAATTACTAAAATTGGTCCTCATACTCTACTCCTTATAGGGGAACAGGGGATTAAAAATTGGTAGATTTTGTCTAAAACATTTTTTCATATTTGTAATAGATGGCGCTGTAATAAAAAAATAAATTTTGTTCCATTTTTCTTCTGAATACGATTCTCCAATAATTTTTGAATAAAATACTTGGTTTTAAAATAACCATATTAAATATTTGCTCGACGAACTCTTTTTTTCGGTTGAACACTCCCGTTTGTAGTAAACTTCTTGACTTTACGGTGAAATGAAATACGTGATCGAATTTTTTCCGGAAAACGCTGAGCGTAGATATTAACAGCATCATCAAGATTCCTGCCTGCTTCTCCATAAATCAAAATCATTTCTATTTTTTCTTCCACTGTTAAAAAATCCATTATGAATAACTGCTTAACGTAATGTTTGCAAATTAATCTTCGAACTAAATTGATTAAATAATGCTAAACTATAAATAGTTTCTTTATACCTCAATAATAATTATTATTTATAACTAAATTCCATTCTTTTATACCTCAATTAGGATTAAATTAATTAATTGACAAAATAATGTTTTTTTTACCTTAAATGAGGTATTTTTATTAAAAATAGTAAATTAAAGGTTTTAATGCTGGCAGATAAAAAGTGATCATGGTGCGCAGTTGATAATTATCACCGAATGAAATAATGTATAAAACTTAAACCAAAGGAAACTAAAATATTAGTTAAAAAATCGTGGGTACTTAAAAAAATCAGATTTAATTTAATAAGATAATTATTACCAAAAAGAGTGATATTTTTATGGAAAAATTATTGCAGAATTGTATAAGAAGAAAAATCGAACAAAATTGATTTTTTTTCATTACAGCGCCAAATATGAAAAAATGTTTTAGACAAAATCTACATATTTTTAGTCGAATGATCCGAATCTGCAATAAAAAATAGGGTGTTCCATTGGAAATTTTAAAGTTACCCCCTGTTCCCCCTATAAGGAGAAGAGTAGGAGGACCAATTTTAGTACTGATTGATTTCCCCCCTCGAATAATTTAATTTTTATTTTAAATATTTTTTCGTAAAATGCACACTAACTGAGATATTAAGTTTCAAGTTAAATGACTCACACTGTATTGTTCTATAAAATATAGATTTAAATTTAATTTAAGTTTAATGAAAATGAGATTCAAAGTATAGAAAATACGTTATGAAAACCAACATTTTTTTTATTTAAATTTTTACCCAAATTGTCAAATTTGCACATACTTCCATACTTCCTGTGTGGAAGTATGTGCAAATTTGTATAGGTGCTGACACCTATCAACCAAAGGGAAAACCTAGCTTTGTTTGTTGCAGATATCACAAAGGATTTTACCACATTTCACGATAGATAAAGCATTAGTGATTTTATTAATAGGTAACATGTTATTATTATATTATGCATATTTCTTTGGCGATATGTTTTTTCTTCTAAGGTTTTTAACGCAAACTGTCAAAAAAATTTGTTAACCACAGCTGTCTTATTTGAATTATTTCATAACAATCATTTTTGGATGTGAAATATATTTGCTTTTTAAACAAACAAAGGTGTAAATCTGTTTGGTAATTAATCCATTACCAAATATTAAAAAAAATAAAAAAAAGTTTTTCGATAGGCCCCGACGAGATTCGAACTCGTGATCTCCTGTTTACTAGACAGGCGCTTTAACCAACTAAGCCACGGCGCCATCCATTTATCATAAAATCATTATACCAGAAATATTTAAAACCATAAAATAGATTATTGTGTATTGTAAATGAAATATGAAATTTAATTCCGACATTTTTGTTGAAAGTAGTAAGAAAAGTTGACTCATCACATATTTTATTATCAAAAATACACATTATTCATCGTCGCATAACCGTTCCTTAATTCTGGATTTTTCCAATTTCTTTAAGGCAGCTTTAAGTTTTTTTAGTCGGTCTTTATTGTTATCGAGAGCTTCAATCATTTTTTGTATTTGAGCCTCCACCGAGGAATTGGCACGTTCAGATTTAGATATTATATCCTTTAGAACGTCTTTGTATTTATCCAGCTGGGCCATCACCGTATTTACTTCATCCGATAGAGCTTTGCCTCTATTTGCTTCGTTCTAAAAATAACTCGTTTATTTAGTTTTGTTTAGAAAATAAAAATTAAATCAGTCAGCACGGATTTTTGTTTTTTATTTAACGACCAGGATTAATAACAGTAGTTCGAATTACTAACATTGAGTAGGTACGCCCACCTTTATTATCTAATTTTGGGCTGCTGATTTCAAAAATGCCACTTGTTTTGCTCCAGGACGCCTAGGATTCGAAATAATTGCGTAAAAAAATGCTCTGCCCATAATATTTTGATTATTTATTAAATTATTTTGCCTTAAATTTATTTTGGACGTTCAGTATATTTTTGACGTTTTTTGTCAAAAATATAGGTACAGGGACTTCATAGACATCATAGTCATCAGTACATAAATGTCAAATAGAATTTTTTTTGTTATATTGTATAGTATACCTACCTACTATAGTAAGTAGTATTATATAAGGGATATTCAATAAAGCACTTTTCTGCAGATTAAATACCTACCAAAACTAAAATTATGATGTTTTTTTGGTAAAAAGTATCATTTTTTGAAATTTTTGTGTCGTTTTTGTAATTACTAATTAAATCGAAAAGGTAATAAAGTAAATGGGTTTCGGTATAAACAATACTCTTCGACTATTATTTGATATTTTTTTATTCGCATCATGTCTAAAGTACCCAAAAATTCATCTCCAATCTTATTTATTAAGTCTTATCAAAATTTACTGTCGAATTGAAGTATAAAGGCGCCTTTATCTACTTTATCGTTCAAGCACATTAAAGTGGATCTATTAATTTTTGACATTTAAAATTTAAACTTTAAATTGTATTTTTACTTAAAAGTGATTTTAAGAACCAAAAATGAAAAAAGAGCAGGATATGGAAGTGGTAATGGAAGTGGCAGAGAAAGAGAAAGGAGACGAACATTTATGTCGTCGTTGTAAATTTGTTTTGTTTTTGTTGCGGTACCTTTACGCCCAAGAAAAACCAACGCAATATTTCATTACAAAATTTTATGAGATATACCTACTACTTTAATTTTGCAGGAATATTAAATGGACTTGTTTAATGAAAGATCAAGCATTCAAAAATGCTCTCAAAGTTGACGAGCTTGTCGCATATGACAGTGTTAAAGCTGTCATTTAAAATGTTCTTGGTTCATATCGGGCCTAAAATTGGCGCCAATTCATTGAAAAAATGCTCTCCGTTTTGCAAAGAATTGGCCTTAATATGTCATTTCAAATACATTTTCTTTTTTTTTTCCTTCCTGATAAATTTGCCGAACTGATGAACATGGAGAACGATATCACCAAGTAACTGCAAATCTAGAGCATTGGTAGATATCTATGGGTATAGCGGAAAGAAGTTGGATTTGCTGAAATTTGCAGCAAAAGATGTACGATGATGAGGATTAAGCTCAATAATGCAATGCATTAAATTTTGTGGGCTTAATTTGGTTAAAGATTACCGAAACCTCTTTACTTTGTTGCCCTTTCAATTCAATAATTAAAATAAACGACAAAAAATGTCAAATAATGGTTGTTTTTTGTTGTTTTTCAAATACGCCATAAAGTTACAGCTCGTCAATAGAGAAGTAGATAAAATAATAAAAGTAGCTGAGGCTGGTGCTATAGCACATACAAGAGCTGTGCGGTAGGAACCCGAAATAGTAACCATACTTTAATGTAAAATAAAAAAAAAGTAAAAAAAAAATCTGATATTTACGTTAACAGATGCCGCTACTGCCTTTAACATATCATTCATTTCATCTAATTGTTTTTGGTTGTCTTGTTCTGGTGGTTTAAACGCCTCTTGCACCTTCTTCTGATACAATATGAATCTTTCTTTTACCATTGCCAAGATGCCTTGGAATTTTTTGTATTCTTTTTGGGTTTCCTACAAAGAACCTTGCAGGAGTTTATAAATTTACCCAATGATTGAACTTACGTTAAGTTTCATCATATTCTTGACTATAGCATCAGATAGTTCGCTTTGCATTTGATTTACTATCATTTCGTGTCTATTTTGGTATCTCTCCAACAGTATACCTTTGGTATCTCGTAACAAAACCAAAAATCTATCAGAAATATAACAAATTAATAAGAAAAAAGTTTTAAGGAGTAGGTAAACAGTTTTTTTCTTTAAAAATGATTTCTTCATCTTTTTAAAAATAGAATTAGTACTGCGCAAACCTCTCTATAACTTCCTTGGAATACACATCGACCAGTTTGATCATGTTCTTTTTGGCCGGCGCGTTAGCTGCAGCCTGAGCCCACATTTGGTCGCTCAGCTTCTTTCTATCGGGTACGAATGGTACCGAGGGCTTCAGCTTCACGCCCATCGGTGCCGGCGGCTGCTCTTTGTTCTTGGCCGCGCACACCTTCGGTTGGTTCAAGTCGAATCGGTTGCCTTTTTTGCTGAAAGTGGTGGGAGCGTTCGGGTAGATCCTGCTCACCAAGCTGTCGAGAGCTTCGGTTCTTTTCAAGACCTTGAGAAATTAGATTGTTATTGAGGTTATTTCTTCCCTTGCGGAAATTATTTTCTGAAAGTTTTAATAAGTAAAAGTAACAGTTTTGAAAGTGTTACTTTCTCTTAAAAACACTTATTAAGTCAGAATAAGTCTTAGTAAGTCAGACTAATAGCAAGATTTGGAAGTCTTCTGGAAGAGTTAATAAGACCTAATAATACTTTTAGCAGAGAAATGGTAGGTATACATATAGCGATTAAAATAAATATATAAATATATAAATTATATATATATATATATATATATATATATATATAAATATATAATATTCATTCAGATGTGGTATTTGGTTATTGCAAAAGAAAACACAAATAAAAGTATTGTAACGTTTTTACTGTTCGTAGTGTGAATAAAACACGCACTGGTTTATTAACGAACTTAACTATTTGTTTTATAACTTAATTACACTTAAAACACTAGGAAACTATAAACACTTGACTACTAATTATTTATATATCACTACTGTACAAGAGTCTATTTATTTGCACCTATTTCTTTGCGAGTACGAACGCTTGACTGACTGCTCCATGCTGCTCTGTTCCTTATATCGTCGTTTATCTGACAAAGAGGCGTATCTCATTTTTAAACAAAACGGTGTGAATTGAATTACGCCAGTTTGTACGGCACACAAAATGCAAAAATATTAGTTACGCCGAAACTGATTTATGCTAAAACTTTATTTGTACCTATTTATTATAGAGCTACGCCAGTTTGTGAGATTATAAAGTCGATTTTGGTGATCATTCTGGTATAACTCAAAAACGATTTTTTTTGAGTTACGCCTCTTTGTCAGATAAACGACGATATATTCAGTGCCTACATGACACTAGTCACGCAAACGCCTTCTCGAACATTCCAGCGTGCTCCACACCGCGATGACTCATCGCCGATGAGTCATCATTCCGAGGTCCAGAGAGGTACTCGCTACAGTATTTATAAACACTGTTCTTATAGTTATTATACCTTATGTAATCAACAAGGGATCTGTATGTAAAAAAAAACATATTATGTTCAGTTAAACTCATAAAACAAATATGTTTGATCTTCGAGCTGCTTTCATTGCTTGTGTGTTTGTCAAACACTGTTTGATGGAACGTACAGTGTTGCCGGATGAATGTAATAAAAGTGCCTGACCATAAATTACAAAATACTAAAAAAACTAGTTTTATTTTAAATTTACTAGCGCATTCTCACTGCTTTAAAAAAAAAAATGAGTGACAGAAGAAAGATGCAATCATTGGTCAGCTGAGAAAATCGATATTGCGTCTAGAACACTTGTGTTGTTGTTTTTGGAACAATGGTTTGAAACAATGGTTAGATGAATATTTGCGTATATAAAAAGAAACTATTAAAATAAAACGTACAGTGGCAACAATGAAAGCAAGTTAAGCGCATCGTGTGTATAAAGTTATAATTGTTATAATTATTACACCTTACATATGTTATTATTTAGGTAACTAGGCAATAAACTTGGCTTATAACAAAACAGCAAAAATGTTAATAAACACTTTTCTTTGTGTTTTATTTTTTAATAACCAAATACAACCTCTCTGAATATTTCCGGATATTTATTTTTCTTGCTATAGCTAAACCTAGGTACCTACCATTTCTTTTCTAAAAGTCTTATTAAGTCTTATTAACTCTTCCAGAAGACTCCCAAATTTTGCTATTATTCTGACTCACTAGGACTTATTCAGACTTAGTAAGTCTTATTCTGATTTTTTCCAACTTAAGTCTTATTCAAAGTTTTTAAGAGAAAGTAAGACTTTCAAAACTCTTATTTTTACTCATTAAAACTTTTTCAGGGAAAAATTTCCACAAGGGTGCTTGGGAAGTATGATTCGGGTAATCTGAATTCAAAAATGTTTTTTTGTACCTGATCTTTGGTTTTGACAACTTTTTCTTGAAGAAGCTTCAATAACTCATTTCTTTTTTCTTTGTCTTCCATTGCTTCATATACAGCATATTCGTTCTTCTCCATAAGATCTTTTATTAAACTCTCTAAACAGTTATCAACCACTTCATTTTCATCCACCTGTTCTCCTGTGTTAAAAAAGAAAAAATTACGCGTTCAAGTTAGTTTTGCCATTTTACCGTCCAGTTCGTTTTTGATGCTTTGCAACAAAACGTCAAAAAAATTAACGCAGTTCTGTCGTTCTTGTGGTGTTTTTCTTTTAGCCAAGACTTTCTGCATCGGTGCCAGATCTCCGGAGCCTTCGTTGCTCATCCACTTGGGCTCGCAATCGGCCAAAGACAACCCAAGGTAGGCAAAGGCACCTTGACCGTTTTTTAGTGTGCGCGATGCCACTATCGTGTTGCCCACGCACCTGGCAGGTGGTGCTTCAGCGGGTTTCCTTAAATCCACATCTTCGAGCCAGGCTTCCTAAATTTCAAGCAAAATAGAGGCCCGTTAGTCGCTTCGGTCTACTTACATCCAAGTCTTCCGGCATGGGCTGAAATATGTCCATGGCAGTTATTATATCCACCTCGCAAGGCTTTTTAAGGAACTCTCCTTTCAACTTGCCTTCTTGCATTTGCAACAGCAGTTGGGCCAAGTATATATTTCGGCACCTTTTTCTTTCCGCACCCACACATCTTTCGCTGCACAACTTTGTCAGCCACTCCTTGGTAAATCAAAAAAAAAAAAAAGTTAAACGGGAAGATTTTCGCCGGCTTTAACTTACATCTGCTAAAGCTTTTTGGTCGTCTTCTTTGATTTTTTGAATGAATATGCTGGTAAAGTCTAAGTAAAAGAGAAAATCCTGGTCTAATTTAACTTCGGTGCCCATTTTTTTTACAAATAATTTAACGATACTATCCAAATATTAATCATGACGCTGACGGTTCTAGTGTTTGTCACAAAATGTCACATGCGTATTGTTTTTTTAATGTACAGGGTTTTCGGAAACCAACTGACAAAAGACAGCAAACTATGAATAATTTAATAAGTTTGCAATTTGCGTCTCACTGTGCTTTGTTACCATGGTACTAAGACTATGCTTTGTTACAGATATGTTCCTCACCAGGCACCGATAGACAGACTGTTTCGATCTTTTGGACCCCATCAATGGCGGGTATAATTATTTTACTAAAATAGTACAAAGCTAGTTTCAACTGCACAGCTAAATCGCGCACGTTATTTGTGTTTTGCGTTGCAAGTAAAAACTAAAAAACTTTGGTTTAGTACTCCTTTCGATTTAATATTCCTTACATCATTGATAAGGAAACTTAACGCTTATAAAGTTACGTTAGTGTGTGTATTTTATCTGAGTGATCATGGTAAATTATTGTGTTTTTAATTGTAAATATAATTCAAGAACTAAATCGTTGCATTTTCAAGTTTTGCCAAAGGATCGAATTCGGTACGTATATTTGTTGGTGCAGAATTAACTAATGATAACTTTACCCAATATAATTTATATTTATGTTTGGACATTTTTAAGAAATCTAACAAAAAATTTACATTTTTATATTTGAGTCCTCATAAAAAATTTATAGCAACATAATATTATAATACATAATATAATACCCGTTTTTGTTTTTTTACCGTTGAGTGGAGACTTTCTCAATCAACGCTTTTAATAATGCTTGAATTAAGACGACTTCTTTGTTTTATGATTTTTACTGAATTGAAGTATAGTATATTGTGCAACAAGTGTAGAAAATAGTAGATTATAAACGATCAACTATTTGTAAAAAAATAGCTGTAATTTATTGTTAATAATAATTGTCAACAAAATTAACAATTATTGTCTTCTTCTTTTTCATTGTTACTACTAGTGGTACGATATTTTTATTGTTCAACTAGTGTAACAATAGCTTACTTTGTCCATTGTTTTAAAGCGTATAATGTCTTAATTCTAAATGAGTGTGGGACAAAATATTTTTTATTTAGTTATACGATATGTGCAAGTTGGGAGAAGCTAGAATAGTAACAGGATGGGTGGTTTAGGGTTTAATAAAAACATGTATTTATATAAACTCATTTATAAAACCTAAATTAACACATATCACATACACAAATTATGCAGGAATTTGTAAAAATAGTTTTTTTTTAATTTATATGAAAAATGCAGTAAGATGTTGTAACAAACTGCAACACCCCGTTTGTATTCAATCTCATTTATCACGCATTTTATTTGTAGGATGTAACAGTTTTGGAAAAAATAAAAGAGTGAAATTATTAGTAAAAAATATTAGATTCAAAAAAGGTTTCAAATATACCAAAAAATCCTGCATTTTGTTTTTTACTAAGGAATCCACCATTACATTTTTTCAAACCTGTATGATGTAACACCATGTATATGAAAACATAAAAATCTAGAATATTCGGCAACAACTCAGCAAGAATGTATTTTATAAAAAAGTAAAAAATAAATAAAATATTTAACATGGTGTATTTAGCTAAGTATGCAAAAATAATAAATTTCTTAAATTATTTTTATTTTGTACTTACTTTTTACATTTTACAACGACATATTCAGAAATTGTTCAATAGCTTCACTAAGATCTTGATTTAAAATGTTTTTTACCAGCATGTCCTTGTGCTCTAATTTATTTAAAAGCACCACAGGTTGTATATTAGTCTTTGAATAGTTTATGTTGTATTCCGATTTAACATCTATGATTTTATTGTTATACAAAATACAATTTGTATATATTTTTTTCTCTGAGGCACACTTACTTTTCACACTGGTGTGTTTACGCGATTTTGGTAGCACTGATTTTAAAGGTTTGTCCAATTCGTTAACCAAGGAGCCCTGATTGTTTTCAACATCAAAATCTTTAGGTGCTAAGCACTCAAATTTATTCGATTCTCCATTCTTTTGGATTCCCATGACTTTATTGAAGTTGTCGGTGTTGGTTGAGGGATGTGAGGAAAATTTAAGGACATCATTCAACATTTTTGAGTATTCTTTGTTTATCACAGGCGAACAAATGCTAGTTCCCGAATTATCGTGCATCAAACTGGACGATGAACTCGCTAGTTCCGAATGCGTAAAGTTAATACCGTCCAAAATGTCATTTTCTGCTGGCATGTCTTTCATCATTTCGTTATCTTCCAATATATTTTTTATGTCGAACAATAAATCAACGTCCTCAATCTTTGTTTCTTCTTTGGGCCCACTAGTAAGATTATTTTTTAGTTTTAAACGAACGGGGTTTAACTTTACGCGAAAGTTTGTTTTCTTATTTTTTCTTCGTTTACGCCTACCTTCAAAGGGTTTCCATTTAGATTTTTTCGTCGATTTTTCTTTTGGGATTATATCACTCAAATCGTTTAACCTTCTAACGTTTATTAGGAGTTTCGGCTTCACATCCTCTTCATTTGTCAACAAAGGCATTTCGCTGTCGCTAAAACTTTTATTATATGGTTGTTCTCTATTGGGTGATAATTTTGGTATGCTCTCGTCTTTTGGATCGTGTGTAGTGATCAGTTCAGATTGACGGGCCGGGCTGATAAGATCGTCGACTTTTTTAATTTCCGATTCTCTATCGTTATTGAGGTTTCTCCAATGCATTCTCATTTCTTCGTTTATTTCGTTTTTCATCTCAACTGCAATACAATAAAATATATATATAATTTAATGATATTTTCATGAGTAGGTAGTTCTTTTTCTGTTTTGCGTTTGTGTTCTAATAAATTAAAATTAAACAAAAAAGTTTCAGTTCTCATTTCGTCAGATAATGATAATTTTTTGTATGAATAATTTTTTAAAGAAACCGCGATGATATATATTTTCTTAATGATGTAAACATGAAAATAAAAGTTATTTTCGTTTAAGTATTAAAAAAGAAAATGCATAAATATTCACAAATAGATTAAGTAATGAAATCAATGAAAAAATAAAATAAAAATTATTTGCTGTTAGGTTCAACCTTTTTGTGAAAATCTAGTGGTTAATTTTCCTTTTTTTGAAAATAGTCCTGGACAATACATACATTATAATTATTATTAAGCCACTACAAGTTTTAAAGTTCAGTGGCTTTAACAAAATACCAATTCACCATTGGAGTCCAATGATTGGACAACATTTACGTGTGTTTACATAAAATTTTAATTTCTTTTATATAAATTCTTTTTAAAGCAAAGTTTATTATCCGCTAGGAATACTTTGCCTCTCCTGGGCCGTATTCACCTATATTTAACTACTTTTTTATATGATTTTACTCATTAACAATCCTAAGTATCCTAGCAATTTAAAGAATTTCCTATGGCCATGTATTGGGATTGGCTATTGTTTTTTTTATTTTTATCTCGCTTATACTTTGCGTTAGATAGCTTTAATTTTCCAGTATGTGTTTCGTATAACTTTCGGCACCTATATTTCATCAAAGGTAAAGATATTTTATTTATTAACAACTTATTGGCATAATTTTAGGAAAACATTGAACAACTCAAAATAAGACCCAAATAAATATTTTCCTAATTACTTATGTTTCCAAGATACAGGGTGATAAAGTGTTATTTATCATATCAGTTTTTTTAATATAACCTCTACTATGGTAATCTTGGAAAGGTGATATTTTGCGAACAGTCAATTACTACCAAAACACATATTTACACATAATTATAATTGTTTGATTGAACACAGTGTCGTAGAAACGGGGGTTGCTTTAAGCTTATTGTCCCCTACAAACTTTGAGGTTAGGTTTTTATAACATTTGATGCAATTTTTAGATTACACAGTTCGGCTACAATTAAAAAGGTGTACCTCTCAAACTTCGATAAAATAAACCGTTTCCAAGATATTCGAGATTACAATAATTGTTATATCCACAGACCTTGTAGGTCTGTGGTTATATCGCATTATTTAAAAGGATTAAAAGGTATATGATTAAAAATTTATTTTTTAATTGAAAAAACTAAAAAGGGCATTCCATGAACCTCAGGACTTTTTGCCCTGACCGTCACATTAAAAAAATTGTAGTTTTTTTTTAAAAACCTGTGTTCACTCGAAGAATTGTAATTATGTGTGAATATGTGTTTTTGTAGTAAGTGACTGATGTGATAAGTAACACTTTATCACCCTGTATCTTTTCGCCTTATTTTGACTTGCTTAATCTGCTCCTAAATTTATGCCACTGTTTAGGGACCCCTTGTATAACATAACGACATTCTTCTTCATTCAACAAAAAAAGATTTAGTGTCAAACCCGCCGCTAATAAGTCAACATAACCACAATTATATTCTTCACTAAATAGACCTATTCCATAAAACGGACTTTTGGATAGCGCGTGCGTGAAAAGGCACGTCGTCTTTTTTTAATTATATAAAAGAGAAAGAGATACCACTCTTCTTCAGGCACGCGCTATCCAAAAGTCTGTTTTATGGGATAGGTCTATTGGTTCGTTTTACTCAATGTAGCCGTAGCCAATTATACATTTAAGGTCCCTAGTATTTGCCAACTAAACCCACAAATTTTTAACGTTGACAAGTTCCGTATAAACAAAACAAACTGTATACGGCACGTTTTTTTACGTGGCCGAGATTAGGAAGTCGACTATCCTGTCTTTATATATCTCGTATGTGGAAATTTTTTTAAATAGTAATACCTACTTTAAAAAGATTCGACTCTACATTAAATGCCAATAACGTTTTTATTCAAGCTATTTGTGGCAAGTCCATTACCAATGGAAGTCTTGTAGCCGATTAAGCAATAACTTTCCGCGTGGGGATATTTTTTTTAATAAATTTTAAATTCTTTTTAATGAATAGTAAAAACAATTTAATTTTTGTTAACAATTAAAAATATAAATTCAATAATAATAATAATTATACATACCTAAAAACGCAGCTGTCTCATCATCAATATCTGTACTTTTGTATATTCTAAGTTTCTTCTTTTTAATTTTATCACGAGTTTTTCTCGGTATTAAAACCTTATTTCTGATATTAGCTACCTTGGGCTTATTTTTTAGGTCTTTTGGAAATTCAGACCTCAAAGGACTAGACTTAGTGTTATCAAGATTATTTGACGATAAATTATCTATTACAGGTTTAGGATTTGTATTATTAAAGCCATTAACCACTTCACTTAGTAAATCATTTAGAGACCTATGTTCTTCCTTACTTTTCTTAGCGTTGATTGCTAACGGTGTTTTTCTCAAGTTATTTGAATTGTTAGGTTTTGTATTTTTCTTATCAATAGGTAATTTTTCATTTGTTGCTGACTTGTTAGTTGAACTTGGTTTTAAGACAGTTGGATTATGCCTCATAGTGCGTTTTCTTAAATTAGTCAAGGAACTTTTATTTAAAACTCGATTGGCACGCCAAGCTGCCAGTCTTTGCTGTTTTCCTTTGACGCGCTTTATTTTATTTTCTGTAGCACCAATATTTACAATTTTTTTAAATTTGGCTTTAATATTATTTTTTAATGTTGTTTTATTTGCATTTTCCCTTATAACATCGCTATTTACAATTGTTTTTATATTATTTACAAGGTCGTCTTTTCTAGTGATGGTGGTCTCTTTAACTTTAATATCAGACTCCTTAGTGGTATTTTTTTTTAATTTTTTAATTTGATCATATTTCTTTGCTTCAATACACTCTTCTTCGCTGCTTTCAATAACTTTTCTAGTTCTTTTACCCTTTCTACGAGACTTATTTTTATTGAAGGTTTTGGGTGGTGAACTTTTATCTTCATCTTCGTCATCAGCATCTTCATTTTCATCCGGTATAGTATTCTCTTTATTTTTAACACCCAGAGGTTTTCTTTGACCATGGTTTTTGGAATTTTCCTCGGCCGAAAATGCTTTACGATGCTTATATCTAAGGTGATGTTTCAAGTAATATAAAATTGTAAATGAAGCACTACAATATTCGCAAACAAACACGCTTTTTTCTGTGGTTGTAAACAAATTATTCTCGTTTATTTCTTCTCTGCGAATATATGGGTAATGCGACAATACTTGTTCTGTATTATTAAAGTGTGATTTTTCCCGAATTAATTCTCTAATTGAGCTTGTATTCACTAAGTAATAATAGTCTTTTAAAGCTTCCAACTTCTGGTTATCAACTTTTACGTTATCAGTCTTTGTTGCATACTTTACATTCAAATAATTTTCTTTAACTTTTTCAATAGTTGTTTTTTTAATCTTTTTGTAAGTAATCTTTGTGATTTGTTCGTATTCTTTAATTTTTTCTAATGAGTCTAGTTCTACGAAAGGTTGCAAGTAGCTTAACGATTGTATTGGGACCCGTACATACTTTAAAGTTGAGTCTCTTGATAATCTTTCCCTATTTAACGAATAGTTTGGATCAATTTCGTAAATTGACCTTAAATTTGGCATCTCAGGTTCTATGCATAGTGCACTGTTATCTTCGACTGACTCAACTGTGAGTTCGGGTGGTGAAGAAATCTAAAATGTTTTCAAGGCTACAGGTTTTAAGATCACAAATGCACAATATTTATTCTTAAATACAATTTTTTACAACCCTATTCCTAGTCCAAATAAACATATTGTTTTTTCTTTAAAATCTGTTATTACATAACCTCAATTTTAGGTGCATTATTTTTAAAGAAACGTGCGGAAAGTAACTACTTTCCTCACGAATAAGTGTGCTGAAAGTTGCATTTTTTCGCACTGCAGTCGTGTGCAGAAAAGTATTGCTTTCCGCACATGTATGTAAACAGCTCTTTATTGCATGCAATTTTATTATTTTCAAACCTGAACATTTGAAGATGTAAGGTTATTCCAGAATAACTGATTTTCTTGAAATAATTTCCTATATTTTGCTATTAGTTCTATTAGGTTTAAACATTTATTACAAATGTACTTGCTTTTTCCATCATCACAATCAATCTAAAACAATATATTAAAATAAATGCTCATATTCGATACCAGTATTTTTTTCTGGTGCTTTAATTTAATGTATTAATTGATTTTCACTAAAATAAAAGCACTCAGTATAAAGGATATATTTAGGCAGAAGTAATATTTATGAACATCGTAACATCAAAACATTTTATTCAAAAAACGAAAATCTACTTTTGGCAATTTGAATATATTACATATGATATGTAAATCTCTAAACTTAAAAAATACTGCTTATTTCAGATTTTGTAAAAATTCTCATTAGGTACCTACAGTTTTTTGGTTAGGTTTCAATATTTACTTACTTCCACTCCAAACATCCAGTACACACATTCAATTGTATTTAAGTCTGAATTCTTTAAGCCGTATTCGAATATGTTTTTCATACATGATTTTTCCTTTAAACACAATCTGCATTTTTCGTGATTCGTTGCAGAATCCATAACTATAACCTAACTTATCCGACTCCATTTACTTGGCATTGTTATTGTTTTCGCAGTGTTTATTATTTATGTAAAATGCCAATAGCACAGAGGAGTGACTAATTACATATGTATATGTTATTCTTCTATCTCTGTTCAATTCTCAGGAGCCAAAATATTCTGCCGATAAAGTAGTTTCCTGTAAACGGCTCACAGATCATAAAGGTTTCTCTCTTTTTTTATTATCGCTGTTGAAAGATACGTAAATGCGTATCCCGTTTTTGGGCCAAGCAAAAATATGTTAACCTTCATATACTTAATATTGTAGTTAACACAATTTTGCTTAGCAACAAAAACTAGATACGCCTTTGGGGTGGTCCATCTCGTGACAATGGAGGGGGAAGGGAGAGGGGGAAGGTTTTTTTTGAAGGACTGTCACGCTTTGTGACGTCCGAGGGGGAAGGGTTTTTTGAAACGTCATTTTTAAGTAGGTACTAAAAATAATCGAAAAAATATTTCTGGTGGGGCGTATACTCTATATAAACTCCACTATAGAGTATACTACTATATATAAGCCCAGGCTTTGGAGGGGGGTCTTTATATTGTCACATCGAGGGAGGGGGTCAATTTTGACAGTTTTAAGTGTCAGGAGATTTATGGATGGCCTCTTCACGTATTTTCAACAGAGTTTAGTGAATACTATCACGTTTCTCAACATTATCACATAAAGTGTCCAGATTCTGTCAAAAAATAGGGGGACATTTTGTGTAAATTAACCTTAAATACAAAAATGACACAATCAACAATAATTAAGTAACGTCAAATTTACCATTTGCATTGTATCATTGTTTCAATTCTGTAATTAAGGTAAATTCATACAAAATGTCCCCCTATTTTTTGATAGAATCTGGTCACTTTATTATCACAGCATATAATGGCAGTGATAACCATATAGGGTATATATAGGGTAGGTAAGGGTACTTAACCTAATGGAGCCTCTATAGAGGCTTTTGTGTCAAAGAAAATGGATTCAAAATGGTTAACATCAGCTGTTTTTGTTTAACCTACGTTAAACAGACAGCTGTCTGTGGTGAAAAATATTGACGAGTTGTTTTCCCTAATTATTTATTTCTTAACTTCAGCCCGTGGGTAAAATTCTACTTCGCCCACTGAAGGGCGAAATATCATTTCGCCATATTTTGTGCTACTATTGGTCAAAAACAGAGATTCCACTGAATCTCTTTTTTCTCCCACCAATCGCGCAATATACGATTAATTTTAACCCCTTTATCTCACAAGTATTAATAGAATTGTTTTTGCTAGCACAATATTGTGCAATATTGCATGAGTATATCGTTTTTCAATTAAAAAACAAAAAGTTATTGCAGACTCCTCGTAAGTTGTCTAGTTTCGGCTGTATCCGTATCAAGAATTTGGCGCCACTACTGCTATATCCAGTTTTACATGCGATAAATTTAATGATCAATGTAAAAGTATATTGACCTTTATACAAGTTGTATTATATCTTTCTCTATGGTGGTATTTAGTTTCAACCTTGGAATTAATTTGTAGCAGAAAAACACATTGAATATTTAAAATATATTCCTTAATTAATTTTCCAACGCAATAACAATATTATTGTTTACAATTTTATGTTTAAATGTCCTAGTTTTTACTGTTAGCATATTTATATGTAGTCCCTATTTTATGTTACTTTTTTGTTACGTCTAGGTACCTATTTGATTAGGATTTCCAGATTTAATGCATATACCAAATTATATTTATCTACTTCTATTGCATAATATTGTTTTTTTTTTCGTGAATATTGATAACATAAATTCTCTGCCTAACAACGGGAATAATTAACTCATTATTAACGATTGTATTAATACTTACATCACTAATTAGTGATTGGCCGATTTCAATATTCACTGTGATTTAACCAATCGGGTTTTAAATTGGAAAAAGGCGACTATAATAACATTTAAAATTGGTAAAAAGTGAGGTTAACCATTTGACAGATGTCAGATATATTTTTTTTTGAAAATCATTTAATTATCTACTTATTGGAGTAGATAAAGTATAGTATACATATATATACAGTATATACTATATTACACTCGTAAGAATTATCTCTCGTATGATAATAAATAAATTTTCCTTCGCCCACGGGCTGAAGTTGCCTTAAAGTTAAAATTGAAAAAAGTGAGGTTAAAATTGGCTTTAAATTCCTTGTGGTTGTTAAATAAAATATTGTGTGCGACTATGCTACGCTGGTGCGGCAACTTCATGCACTAAGAATCCTGTTTCCCCAACTAGTCGCACAATAAATTATTATTCAACACCCATTTCATTTCATAACTATAGATTTTGGCATTGACTACCCAGTGGCATTTGGTCCACGGGCTGAAGTTAGCCTTAAGGCTTAATTAAGTTAAAATTTGAACAAAAGTAAGGTTAAAACTGATTGTCAGATGTCAGTTAAAATATCAAATAAAAGCAATGCTATATATATAGACTTATATAAGTCTGGACCTAAAAAATATATCAAAAATTTCTAGGTTATATATAACCCACATATGTGGGGGGAATCACTATGACCACAAATATATATTTGTAATATTACATTTCCCAAGCAACCATGGGGCTGTAGCCTTTTTTTAAATGGCAACGCCCTCTTTTTGATACCTCATTGCTTAGAAAATGAATCTTTTCATTGGCAATTGCCTTAACTTAAGGCCCTTAAGGCAAAACTCGAAATGTCACTTAAGTGACATTTCTGTGTGAAAATTGACAGGTCTGTGTGAAAAAACAAATTAACAGCATCGTAATTTTAAAAGCTGTCAAACACGTTTTTAGGTTATTTTGTTTTGTATTTAAAAATAATAAAAAATAAAAGGGTCGTAGAAAAAACATTGTATTTCACTTGTGAGAAAAGCTTTCTTCAAGCTCGTGTTAACGCACACTCGGCCTGACGGCCTCGTGAGCAACTTAAACACTCGCATGAAAAAGTCGCTTTTCATTGGACCGATGAAATGTCATAATTTTCTATAGACCACACACCTAAAGAAGAATTATATATACCTACCTATATATAAAGATTTGTTATTTGTGGTTTGCATACTGAAATGTTCATTTATAAGTATATTATAATAATTCGAAAATATTATGTTATTGTAGCCTTGAAAAAGAACCGTAGTTACAATATAAAGTTCCATACGGCAGTTGTTTTTAATAATAGTCCTACATTCATCCCGTTACCGGGTTATTGTGACAGTTGACAGTTGTTAAAAATACAGATTTCATATAGAACATTTTTGACATCCGTTAGTTTTTGACAGATGTTAAAAATGAGCCATGACTCTAGCTCATGTCATCGTTTATTTTTAATTGGTTTATTTTCGTCTCCTGGAGTCCCTAGTGGCTTCTGGGAGGGTTTGGACCCCAAAAGTACCCCCGTGCGCACGCAGCTAGCTGTAGTATACTATCCGTTGAAATGAAGTACTCACACATGTTTTATTCTTTGTTGTCATTTCTTTTATCATGAATTTGCAAATTGGAAAAGTATAAACTGTCAAATATTAATGATAATAGGTAAATCACTTTAATAACGCTTGTTTACACGTTACGTTTTCTTTCCTATCTCTGAACAGCCACACATTCCTTGCGCCACGAGCACACAAGCGAATATGATCCACTCCACAATCCACACAACAAGGTCTGTTCGATCTTTATTCGCGCATGTTAAAAATCACAAAATTAGGCAACCAAGTATACATTCATACTTTAGTCGCCATTTTCATTGTTTACAATTTCATGGTTTGCAATTATTGTGCTGTTTTATGCGAATTTGTAATAATATGTCTAAAACATTTATTTTTATTAAGAACCAGATACAACTATTTTTACTTCCTAACAATACATAATGTCAATAATTAATTTCTAAAATTCATTGATTAAAATATTCTTGTCAAATAATAACAATATCAGTTTACTTTAAAACTAAATGTAACTATTTAAATGTAATACCTAATTAATTTCTGAAATTCATTGATTAAAAACTCTTGTAAAATTTCAGTTTACTAAATATAACTATTTTTATTTCCTAATAATTTATAAAAAAATGTACCTATCCTTTTGTCAAATCTTATAATGTTAAAAAACATTTCCAGTTTCTTACCTTCTTAACTTAAAAAAAACTTTGTTTACTTCTTCCATGCCTGTTAGACAGAATTACTATTTTGGGTAATTTAAATTAACGGCGGCAAATAAATCAAATATGGCGGTAGCCGTATGTGCGCATAACAGTACCGATTTTTGTTCGTATTTTAAGAAGATAGAACAGACCTTGTTGTGTGGATTGTGATCCACCCGAAGTCCGTCACTTATCATGTGAACAAAGCGTTTCATGTTTGATAAAAATCGTGATTTCCTTGAAATTGTTTGACTTCAAAAGTTATTTACTTGAATAAATAATAAAGATACATTAAATAGTCAGCTTTTTATATTATATTTTTAACCACGTCCCGTATAACAATATTTATTAATTTACAAATCTCGTATCGAATCTCGTATCAAGTCAAATTTTGTTCCTTTGTTGTGCTTATAACAAAACAAAAGTCTGGTTCAAACGCTACAATTTATTGTGTGGACAGCTGTCGAGCGAAGTCGAGTCGACTCATGCGCCGTGGGGAAAACCGAGTGCGACGTCATCATTCGCGCGGGACCTGCTCTGACGGTTAGTAGCGCTTTGTAGTTGTCCGCTGCTGACGTGACTTCGACAGATCTGAGTGCCTGTGATATTCCGTTTCTATGCCCGCGATTTTTACAAAGTAGATAAACAATGTCGTCGACGGACGATCTATGTAGGCTGTGCCTGAACGAGGAGGACTTGGTGTGCATATTCGACGAGAGAATTCAAGAACCTCACAACATGAAGGAGATTATTTTCACAACCACTGGCGTGGAGGTTAGTATATTGTTGTTTTTATCAAGAATAAGTGAAACCTAATTCAGGTAATCAATCGTTCATGCTAGTTTAACCACTGCGTAGTTTTTAATAAAGAAAGTTGGCTCGCCATTTTATCTTGTTTCATGAAATATACGAGGACTTCTCAAGTAACAATCGAACGAGTTTTGAACATGCGCACTGCACCCTTTCTAAAAATCATGTGCTTTCTTACTAAATCTAAATATTTATTCGGTTTTTATGTTTGTTTTGACTTTTTTATTATTTACATTTGTTGACAGTAGGTAAGTATTGTTATTCAATTTTTATGCTAGTAATGTGAAATTGTTAGTAACTAATTTTTAATAATTATAATTATTAATAATGTATATCTATAGTAATAACCCCAATAATTAATAATAATTATTTCTTTATTTGTGACCATTAATTGTATATTTTATAATTAATTGGGGGTTATTACTATAGATAGGTATACATTATAACTATTAAAAATTGTAATCACTCTTTTAAAATATTTTAATTTAATTGGAACACTACTGTCACTATTAAATTTATGGAATTTATGGTTTTAATGATAAAAAAATTAAATCAATAGCTTATTATCAACATAAGCCGCCATATTGTGAAATTTACGAAACGTACCAGGACGCCTCAATAAATATTTGGACAAAATTTGAACTTTCTTTAATTTTATAGTACAGTTATAATAAAATAAAATAATACATTTTAGTTTAGTTATACAATTGTATACTATTTATTTATTTATTATAGCCCAGTTAAACATAAAATCTAAAAACTTGATTTTTCCTCGATATTTAGTACTTGTACCAGGACGCCTCAATTAATATTTGGACAAAGTCTGAGCCTGCGTGCTTAACTTTCTGAACTTTAAGGTTAAGTTATATTAAAATAAAATAATGGTTTAGTTATACAATTTTATAGTGTTTATTTATGTATTATAGTCCAGTTAAACATTAAATATTAAAATATTGTTTAGGAACATAATCAAAACAGCTTTTTTACTGTAAATATTAAAAAAAAATTAAATTTTCATAAATTGGCTTGTGGCCCACCCGTTTAGGGGTTATCCCAATAAAGTACGTCACGTTTATAGGTTACAGTTTGTGACTAAGTGTGACATGGGGAGGGGGTCTAGATTGTCACACCAAACAAAGAAAAACATTTACTTGCAATATTTAACCTTTTTGTGTTTTTAATAATATTATATTATACGAGTATATTTATAATATTATGTCTGTAAAACAAGTAAACAGCGCCCTACCATTTGAGCTGCCCAGCTTAATCGGTACCTTAGAATAACAAGGTTCTAAGTGCAGCTGAACTGTTAAGCGAAAATGACTTATCTACAATATTAAATATTGCAGATAAGCCATTTTTGCTTAACATGGCAGCTGCACTTAGAACCCTCTCATTCTAAGGTAATACCGTAATATCAATTTTATAATACTCGGGGACTAATTATTATACCGGTTTACATTGTGTGATGACATAATTTTAGTCAGTCGAGATCGAGACACGAATAAAAAAGGCAAAATTTGAAAAATTATTGTTTTTTTCTGAAAAACATAAAAATTTATAGAATTTGACTGAATATTTTTTTTTAACAAAAATTAAAACAAAAATTAATCTCGATTAGTAGTTTTTCAATGACATGAACATTTGAAAAAGCACCATTAAGTTATGCGAAACACATACTTGAAAATTGAAATTATCTAACGCAAAGGATAAGCGAGATAAGAATAAAAAACGATAGCCAATCCCAATACATGACCATAGGGAATTCTTTAAATTGCTACGATACTTAGGATGAATTGTTGATATTATAATATGTAAAATATTTGGCCAACTGGAATCCACTTCATTGTGAGACTGCTGTCAATTTTTGTTCCTGTCATTATTAATCATTTTGAGTTATGTTTTCCTCCTCTGATTATGCCAAAATGATGTTTATTTATGGGGAGTATGGGCGCAATGCTATGGAGGCAGTAATAGTTTTTTCCCGATCGTCCCCTGGACTGTAATTTTTTGTGCGTTGTAACGAAATTGAAGGTGCTCCTTAACGCATTAGAACAGCGGAAAATAAAGAAGCTATTTTCAATGCCTTTGATGCAAATAGTAGGAAGAGCATAAAGGAAGTTGCACGCGAATTTCCTGTTCACGGTTCAGCGGGTTATTTTACGAGAGTGCAGCACCTGCAGTAGGAAGATAATCCCGCTAGAGTGGAATTCTGTAGTGGTTTGTAGAGATTTTGGTTCTGGGCTACAGAACTAGTTGTTTAATTTTTACTTTAAAACCTTGGCGTCCTAAAGTATGACATTCCTTTTTGAAAGGTTAGTAAACCGTCTCCAATTTTGAAAGCTCCTATGTTTAACCTAGAATTGAGGTTAGGGATGCACCGGATCGGGTATTTTGCCGATCCGGCCGGAACCGGAATTTCGGCCGCTGGCCGGACCGGATCGCCGGAATTCCGGCCGGATCGGGACCTAAATTTAAAATGTATGTGCATGCCTATTTTTATACGTAAAACTTTGAAAATATTGAGGCTGATTTATTTTTACTTTTTTTTTAAACTAGCTACAGTATGCAGAGTGTTTATTACTATTAATTTTACCTAGATAGAAATTACTGTTTATTTAAATATTAATTTTTAATTAGCGTTAACAAAATTAAAACAATTCTACTCATTCAATTGGCAGCCACCTGCCAATAGTAAAAAAATTAAAAATAAGTCGGGGAACCACAGCCGCCGGTCTATCATAGGCAAGGAAACACGCACACCCTTTACTGTTGACCAATTACAAAATATATCTGGTCGAAAGTCGGGGCATCCCAGACGTGAAAGTCGGGGAATCACAGACGCGAAAGTCGGGAAATCCCAGACGCCTGCTAATCATAAGCAAAGGCATAGGGCTGCAGGCATGATACTAAATAAGACTGGTAATGTAACGCGCCGTATTAAGCGGCTGAAAAGTGGATCTAAACTTGGGTCACTGTTCGACAGAGAGGTCGAGAGAGAGGCAACGCGAGAAAGGGCTATGCGAATCGTTCGGTTCTCTGCGAAATTAAAAAGACGCCGGTAATTTTTATTAATTTATTAAGTGTCCGAGACTATTTTATTATTACAATGGTTAAGACTTGTTTTGTGCCTACGTGTAATGGTGGGTAAAAAAGTTGTTTAGAGAAAGTGTATCTATTTAAAGTGCCAGAGAATAGATTAATTTTTTGGTAAAAGAAAATACCGGAGCGATCCGGCCGGAACGGTAGTTCCGGCCAACTGGCCGGATCGGCCGGATTTAGTGGTACCGCCGGAATTCCGGTGCATCCCTAATTGAGGTTAATAAACTAATCTTTCAAATTTACGATAGTTACAAGTTGTAACTTTTACTTTTATTATTTTTTGTTCCGTTATAAAAAATTGTTTAAATCTTTATCTTCCGCCGTCGTCAGACCATATTTTTGAGGGGACGAGAATTAAATTTAAGATAAAACAACCTCTAACCATTGTTATCAACGTTTTTATTGTCCAAAGACAGAAGTATAAACATGATACTTGTCAAAAAACGTTGATAATCATGATTGTGCAAAATTGCGATTAGGCAACCATGATGCGCATTACACTAAACCACGTATTATGGACCATCATGTATGGTGCACTGGATATCGATGGAAAAGAGAAGAACAGTTTTACTAAATTGCCATTAAGATTTCTTCTCCTGTCTCTAGACTTAATTAGAGATGGGAGATATTTATATACCAGTAAATTATCCCCCTTGGACGCACATGACAACGTTTTACAGGATCTTCTAAACAGTTTTCACAGGTCTATAGCACAATCCACACAACATGTGGATTGTGATCTATAGTATCATAATGAGTTCCTACGCTTGTTTAATACCCTGTTGTTATGTCAAACTCGTAAACTTATGTCTTAACCTTAGTTATAATGTCTTTTGTGGACGTTGGATTTGCATTTCCCGCTCAAAACAAGTCAGCAACTACCCATCGTCAAAACTAATTTTGACACAAATTCCGCTCTTTTGTGACAAGGCGAGCAGAATGGCATCTTAATTTATCATTTAGCACGGTGATTTGCAAGTAATATTTTCTTTGATTTTTCTGCATCCTCAGTTATTGATGTGGGTGGATTGGGCATACGTTACAAATCTTCACCATTGTTGAATGACTTAATGTTACGTTCAAATAACTAAATCTACCATGACACGGTTACAATATCTTCATATTATATTAGCATAGTTGGAATCATATGATTTGCACCATCAGAATATACTTCGTAGTTTTATAACTTTGTGGTGTATCAGTCTGGTATCTAAAATGTTAAGATCACTTTTGACACCACCTTAACGTTTCCTGTAAGGTGGGTATGCATTTGAAGTTTTGGAAAAAAATTAAACCCCGAAAAAACAACTTTGAAAACTATATTTTAGTGAACAACTTCTAACATTGAAATAATCTTATACACTAGAAAAAAATATCCTCATTTAACGAACGGTCCATTGTCTTCAATTTGGCGAAGCTTTGTTCGAACTTGTCCCATTAGTCTCTGGACGAATGTTATATCTACTTCTCGAATTTTTTGATAAATTCTACGACGCAACATTTGTTCGTCTGCAGCTTCCCAACCATTGTCATAGGCCTTCCTGCTTAGTAAGGACCAAAAAGCTTCATTTGGGCGAGCTTGAGGTATGTTTGGAGGATTGTCTTTCTTGGGCACAAAAGGTATGTTATGTTATTTCTCTGGTGATTCGAGCATAATGGCATGATGCCAGGTCAGGTCAAAACATTATTTTGTCTTCAATGTGGTGTTCATTAATAAAATCAACTAACTTTGGAAGACATCTTTGGGTATAAGTATATATTAGCATCAACTGCTTCCCCTCTTACCCGCAACATACAGTCCAGAGATACCTCTATCTGAAATGGCAGCCCAAACTAAAACTTTATCTTCAATTTTTTTTTCGCCTTTGTGGCAACTTCATTAGGACACTCTTCAACGTTATCAGTGTAAAAACCGTCATTTCCTTTCATTTCCGAAATGGAAAGAGTGAAATATTTTTCGTCATCCAAAATGATGCGTTTGTTGTTCGCGAAGTGGATTGGTCGTATTGCTCTGCAGCGTATCGGAATTCTCTGTAGTTGATTCTGCGTGTATTTTTGGGCATTTCCGTCTTTTGCGATATTTTAAGTTTCTTCTTTTAAGTGTTCTTTTTATAGTGACATTTGATACATAAAATCTCCTTGCCAGTTTTCGGTGAGATGTATCCACTTTATGTCTTGCGCTTTCAACAACTCTGTTTTCACGAACTTCACTTAGAACTTTTGGTCATCCACTTTTTGGTAAGTTAAAACAAGGTATTCTTTGTTCGTTTCGAAAAATATTTACAATTTCACGTTTCGATAGCCGTCCAACAAGGTTACTTTTTAGATACTTTTTCGAATTCCCAATTTGTATGACATGTTTTTGAGAAATTTGAAACTATAGTAAATTTAAAAGGAAACGACGTACACAATGTGATGGTAAAATCATTGCATCAAGTGAAAGTGGTAGTGCAACTACAGGGCGATAGATGGCGTTTACATGAGTAATACCATAGGGTCCCTAGATTTGGGACCTTAGAATACCAAAATGTTAAAAGTTAGAGTTTTATAACCTATATGATGCACCGCCAAAATTATGTTTTTAGCCATTTTTAAAGACATTTTCAGCTATAAAACCCAGAAATTTTGCCATCTAAAGTCAGTCTCTGGTATATATATTCTTATTTTATGTATTCAACAAATATTTTGTTAAATATTCTAATAATAACAATAATCCTGTTTACCTCTCTAACAGCTGTTAAAGGTAACAAAGGTCCATTATTATCCCGTTATGCCTCAAAATAGCGTATTAAGGATGATACCAACTCTTCGGCATTTTAAATATAGGAAAAACAAAAAAAACGATATATAACAAACACAAAAACGGCAATGGAAACTAGCAACAAAAAAAATAAACGAAATTATACACGAAATAAACGAAGTATTTAAAAACACAACGAATAATTGTGAACAATGGTAACTTGTTTGGTGCTCATCATAAAGCTGTAACTCATGTATGAAAAGATTTCCAAAACTTCAGATGCATACGTTACTCTTGTCGTCAGAGAATAAAATAATACTTCTTGAGATCAACCTTCATTCTAATGTTACCTTTACATACCTGGAATACCACGGTATACCGACAGTGAAGTACCCTCCCCTAAGCATGGAGGACAATTGAGCATGTTAGGGATAAGCTTTAGTAAAAATCCTACAATAGTTACTGCTTTAGGTACCTGCGTTGATAGAAGTAGCAATCTCTTAGTGAAAACCAAATTAAAAAAAAAAAATTTGCTTAAAATTGAGTATCTTTGAAAGAAAAATGAACTATTTCGGTACCGGGAATGCAAATAATATTAAATCAAACCTATTTTAATATAGCAATAACAGTAAATACTATAAAAAAACATTGTACATAGAGGCGCAATATGGTGATGTGGTTGGCTGTAAAAAGGCGCGTGAATATGGAGTCCCGCCTCTAAACCTCTCCGCGAAAGATCTGTATGGTACAAGCAGTAACAACCCTGCTTAAAATACCCCATAAAGACCTATACAAAATAATCTATCGGGCGCTACCGGATTCAATATGTGCATTTGTCCATGGTTTTTTCCGGATACGGCCCGATAGAAAATGTATAGGAAATTACCTATAGGCATAACTTTTACATTTTTCCGATAGAGACCGATAGCAAATAAGGATATATAGGGATATCCCTATAGAGCAACCACAAAACATTTGAAAAAATTGTATTAAAACCTATGGGGTCCTATAGGGAAAAACTAGTTTCTACATTTATGTGTATTTTCCCCATTGAAACCAATAGCAAATAAATCAATGGTGGATATCCCTATAGAACAACCATTAATCCCAACGATGGGACCTATACATACCGATACACCCTATAGAAACACCATACATTCCGATACAAATATCTATCGGTTTAAACATGGTCTCTGTGGGGTATTTTAAGCAGGGAATGCACTATACTGACTATCCCGTCCCCTACTTACAAAGCCCTTAATTTGTAAGATGGAGTTTTTGCTGGCCTTTTTTTGTTGAGCGAATATTTAAGCAAAGCAGAAAGTTGAAGAGAGTTAAGTTGTAAATTCGGGTAACAGGATAAAGATAAGTTAAAAACCATTGAAAAGAAAGAAAGCAGAACCTGCAGCGTGGGTACAGCGGTTGGACTTGAAGGGTGTATGAAAATTGTGGTGGGCGGTTCCACCAGCTTGCACGAGAGAGCAAAGTATCTTAACCACTAGACCATACGGGATATACTTTATTCAAAAAACAACGAACATACGACAACGTTCCGCAAGATCTTCAAAACGTTTTTTACAAGCCGGAATCGCTACCAAAGTAACTCCCACATCTTCAGCCTCGGACCAGTAATCTCTTTCAGATGGCAAATTGTGATATCCGAAGAAATGAGTGAAAGTGAAAAAAATTTGATTTCGTCTGCAGATATCTTGAACCCTTGTTTTTTTGTCATTTGATGCATATAGATTGGTTTACCAGCAATAATTTTATTTTTTTCATAGTCCCAACAGCTAAATTGCCTGACCCCCATTTACCATAATCAACTTACATTTTTGGGAATTCTCTTTCTCATCGTCTTGATTTCAGGGAACATTCATCTTAACAGTGATATATCAGGTAAAACTGGGCAACATAGCAGCATCACATTTCTCAGTATAAAAGTATTACATATATCATCTTAAAATGCTGCGGAACCCTTTTAGAACTATGGAAGAAGTTCCATGGTTCTAAAAGGGTTCTGCAGCATTTAAGATCCATGGGGAATATACCTGAAATAAATCACGCGTTTGCCCATCATCCTATTTAGAGGACCCTCGAATTTTGCTTCAAATATTGTCCAAAAAAAAGTTACTACTAAGCTAGCACATGATTTATTATCAATTCGATCATTTTACAGGTTTGTTTAATTATGTAATCCATTTAAGCAGTGGTACTTTAGTTTTGTAAATAAATCTGTTTGGATTAAAATTGCACTTCCCTGCTGCAGGGAAGTGCAATTTTAATCCAAACAGATTTATTTACAAAAAATAAAAAATTTACAGGTTGTTTGCTGTCTTGTCAAGCCTGTTTCCTTCCTTTCTTTTTGATTTGCTTCCCTTATCTACTGCGTTACTTATTACATTGTATATACAGTGTATATTCTTCCAAAATGTTCGGGATGTAGCGGTTCACAGTTAAACCTTCTCCCCCTCCACCATCCAACTCGCGTCAGAGAAAATATTACTTCTTGATTGTGGTTCTGAGATATGCGTGAGCGTTTCCTGTTAAACTGCAGTTTTAAACATACCTCTTACTTGAGATAAACCCATAGTCAAATGTCACCTTTACAACCTGGAATACCTTGGTATAACAACAGTGTACCAGCCTCTGCTAAGCATGGACTTGAAACTATTGAGCATGTTAGGGATCAGCTTTAATGAAAAGTTACTGCATCAGGGACCATAATGAAATAGAGGGGTGTGTTGATTAATTAATTATTCAAAGACTTATAATGGTGTATAATCATGCTGAAGCGTTAACCAAAAGGGTCTTGGCAACCACATAGTTATTTATAGTTCAGAAATAATATTCCTCACACAATGGAAGTTTGATGTCGATTCATGATAGCATTATCCAAGCTTCTTATATTCACTACACGTATTATTGCCAACCCCCTTTGAAACAATGACAAAGAATTTAAAACACACATATATTACAGACTCAACCTTTACCGTTTATTATTACCAATGATAAACTTTCTTTCCAGATTAATGAAACCGATTCAATTTCCAAAAGCGCCTGTTCGAGATGTCTACAGATAACAATTAAAATGTTTAAGTTTCGGACTACAGCGCTTAAAAACGACCAAGAACTGAGGGTAAGTCGTGATAATTACTTAATAAACCTTGCTAATACTCCATCTTCTAACTTGCAGGATAAGGCTGCGCTTGTATGTAACGTAGAAGTTAAAGAAGTTAAAAAAGAAAACGAGTCTCCTGAGGTAAGTGCAGATCTCTAAGAGAAAGGGGTTGTTGCTATATTGTGTATTGATTTTCAGAAATCACCGGGAAAAAATGTTCCCCCCAAACCCAAACCAGGACCTAAAAAACCGACTATTCATCCTAGCGTTTCCAAGTTGTTTGGTGAAAATTCCCTCCTCAAACTTCCCGCGGCTTGTTTAAACAATAATATTGCTCCAGTGGTAACGGTAGATAAAGTTTCCACGGATCGCTTGGTTAAAAAAATGAATTCACGAATTGCCAGAACGATAAACCCATCTGAAAAAAACACTACAATAAACAATAAGGAAAACATGAACAAATCGGTTAATGCTTTAGAAAAACCCGAAACTCAAAAAAAAATCAGTTTTTACCTTAAAAAAGCAGACACCCCGATAAACAAACCCTACAAAGATCAACCTTCCAGTACACCAAATTTGGAAACAACGCAGGCAAAGACAAACACTGCCGAATTCAATTTAAAAATTGTTAATAAGGTCATAGTTCCAGACAATAATCAGATAAAATTTAAAGAGAAGCGGAAAGCTGATGAAAATATTGCAGATTTGCATTTTAAACGAGCTAAAATTGTTGAAAATTCTCCCAGTGTCTCCTCTACTACTACAGTTTCAGTGCCAAGTTCGCCAGATGCTTCGGTTGAAATGCCTAATCTTTTATGTAAGAGCCCAGAAGGTCCAGTTTCAGTATTGGAAAAATCGGTCTCGATTAGGTTGTGTGAGATTTGCAATGAAGTATTTTACAATATTCGTGATCTAAAATCACATCTAAAGAAACATATGAAATGTCAGTTCTGCAAACTACGTTTTAAGTCGTTGCAATCGAAAGAAAGACATCTCGATGGATTGTGTAAAATTAGGAACATGATGAATAATCTCCCAAATATAGATCTCCATAATATTCTGTTGGATGGTTCTATCACTTCAAAGTACAAAGAAGCATTCATCGGATATGAGGCTTTTATGCCCTTAATTATAAAACCAGTTGCATTAAATGCAAATGCAAATGCTTTTGAGAAAACAGAGAAAACTATTATGACAAGTACCAGAAATATTCAAATAGCAGAACCGAATGTTCTACCTGCTGATGAGTTGCCATGCCAAACAGAAAACCTCGTTGTAGCAAGTACCAGCAAAAAAGATTCAAGTAGCCAAAGTTTACATTGTGAAGAGATTTCACTGTTGTCTGATGATGAAGACGAACTGCAAGAACAAATGACTATTTTGAACAGTGAGACTGGCATAATGTCAACAATCGATAAAAACACACCTCCTACTTTGACACCAATTAAACCAATTAAACCGAAGGTTAAAGAAGCTAACGAACCTAAAAAGAAAGAGGAAGTAGGTGCTAAGCATGTGATAAAACCAGACATTAAAATTAGGAACGACTTTATGGGCCCGTTGGATCCCAAAGCCTCTGATGTCAAAATATTGAAGGATCTACTCTACAAGCAATCCGTTTTGCACTTGTGTTCCGAAAAGGAGGTGCAAACAGCAACTCCTGCGTATGAAGATGTTTATTTCAATAAGACGGAAAACCTATACGAATTTACTAATTTAAAATCGCAATTGGTGGTGTATAAAATACCGGTTCAAATAAAAAATGGTCTTTTTGGAGTCAACTTTGACTACACAAAAAAGAAAACCAAAAAACGGACCATAAATGTTTGGTTTGACAAACCCATCGACATAACTCCGGCCGTCATAACCGCAATTAACAACGAGCCGAATAATCCAAAACCGGTTTCGGTGAGCACCCCCAATATACGTCCACAACAAGTGTACCCGCCACGCCAAACATACCCGGCAAATTTCAGAGCTTTGGCGCCCGCAGGTCCCCGAGCGTCTGTTTTGGCGCCCGCAGGTCCCAGAGCTTCTGTTTTGGGGGCCGTAGGTCCCAGACCTCGACCACCAATGCTGCCGAGGGGATACAACCCTACGCCCCGATGGGGCGCCCACGCCAACACCCTTCAAACCAATCAGAACGTCTTACTTTTCGCGGTGCCTACCGAAAACGGACAGGCCAGCGCTACTGTGACCGCACCGATTCCAACTATAACCATGCCGGTTGCTTTAAACCATACGATGCCTTCTGGAGCTACCATAGGTTTAGGAAATAGATTGCCTGTTACTCCCTTATCGAGTATGCCTTCACCTAATATTGGTTCAAGGCCTGGAGCTGTGTCTGCTGGTTTAAACCATACGTTCACTGGACCCTCGGTTTTAAGAAGCGTAAGGCCTGGTTCCACGCCCGTGGTTATGCCTGCTGGTTTAAACCACACGACAGGGAATATATTGCCTGGTGCAAGGAGTACTAGCAATACGCCGACTGGTACTTCTGGGTCTGCTACTGCGCCCAGATCTATGCCGGCTACTTTAAATATGACCACTGCATCTACGCCGGGTTTAAGGAACATACTGCCAGGCCCAAGGACTCCTACTTCAAGGCCTACAAATAGCTTTAACCCCTTACAAACTACCAGTATTGGTCAGGGGACGCCATTTTCAAACCAACCGCAAGTCAGTACTCTAAACCAGACACCGGGTACTTCAAGTTCCGAATCGAGCGGTTCTAATAATAGAGTTATTAGAGTAAAGAAGTTTTCAGATTTGACTTAAGTAACTCATACTGTTTGTATATATTTTTTATAAAATTGTTTTAAAAATTGCATGCAATTAAGTTAGTTTAAGCATAAATTGTTTTGTATTAATGCTTCAATATAAATTTGTCTTAAACTCAATTCCTCACTCTAAATTAATTATTTTTGTTTCAAATAAAAAGTTTATTTATTTTGTTTGCAGTTTTAATTTTAAGGAATTTTAAGAAATAAATCTACTGGCCCAAAAATTATTTCTTCACACCCATTTATCAGGTAAAAATGTTTCCAGGTAGAAATCGGCTCAAAGGTATGTATGTATTTATTATATAGCGTCTATAAATAAACTCGACGGCAATTTTAATGCTGATTTCCTCGCCAACCGTTTATCTGATTTTGATGTTTTTGAATTGAATTTCTAATTCGGCTTTACACTTATTTCTTTTTACCTGAAAAGACTATCCGGTGCGTTTGATTTAAAACAGTGAATTTTTGTTAACGCGAATAAAAACAATGTTATAGGTACAGTTAAATTTCCATTGACATCCGATGCTGAATAATTATTATCTAACTCTCATAAGCGGTTCACGAGGAAATCATACGATATACTTTATCCGAGTTGGCTTTAAACCATTTTATCTTCGTTAATAACAGCTAGATATTTAATAAGTGAATATATAATTTATGTTTTGCTTGTGATGGCAAACGTTTTTATTTTTAGAATCCTTATCTACATCCTGTAGTTATCACTTAAGTAATTACAACATTGAAAATTTAAATGTATCAAGTCATTTGAAATAGGTACTGTTGGATAGGTGTGTAAGTGGACCATTGTAACGCAATTTCGACTATGCCGACAGTCGTGACGCGTCGGCAGCCGACGGCATGTATCGGGGACTTTATTTTTATTTTTTTTTATTAATAAAGATAATATCCAAATAGTTACAAGAACTTTAACAGATATGTCTTATATATTAACAGTAATAAAAGTTTAAATATCAGAAATAAATAGTAACAAATAGTATAAATAATATAAATAACAGCAATAAACAAGAAAAAAATGTACATTAGATTAGATTGTTTTGTCTTTTGTTTACAATAAAGAATTTTTTTAATTGTTTTTTAAAACTTATGTAGTTTTGGTTAGAAAGAATTTGTAAATAGTGCTTTTTGGAGTGCCAGTGCAATGACAGTGTAAACTGTCTGATAAAAACTTATTACATTAAGCCTTTTACAAGTATGATATTTACAGAAAAACAAAATGTTATTAAGATTGTTAGATTTACCACGGACTTAAAAATCGTGCAGCAACAAAATAAAACTTAGATATTTCTATGACAATTATAAAAGGCTCTGCGGGTGTAGTCATAAAAATAAAATGTATTGCCGTCCTTACTCTTGGACAAAGAAAGAAATTTTAAAAATAAAATATTAAAGCTTTAAAACAATATATTTACATGTATATGTTATCATGAAGTGCCATCTTAGTGGATAGTCTTGCTCTTAAAACTCAAGCATGTTAGTGAGTCGATTTTTACATGATCATAAACAATGTCCAAGGGAATGTAGAATTAAATCGTAAATCAGATAGGCTATCAAGGATATCCTATATCAGCCTCAATAAAAAGGTGTCCACGAATTATTACTTATTAATTAATTAAGTTAACTTGCAACAGTTCTGACCGGTACACAACAATGTTGCATGATTTTCTCTCTTGGAGATTATAAACAGGCTACAACAAAATGAGGCACCATTTCTAACGACCCTCTGGCTGTCGAAAACGAAATTTTTGTAGAAAAACTTTTGTGTAGAGGGGATAATCCTGACTCGTGACATTTTCCTTTTGAGGATACTAGAAAGAAATGGCTGCTGTTCCACGCGAAATGTGTCAGCAAGTTTTATCAAATTTCAGGTTCAAAGACTCCAAGGCGTTCCGTCAACCTTGCTTCTACTATTAAATTTTACTTTAGGGCAAATAAAACATAAGTAGACCTACAAACGTATTGGTTAAAAACAAAGTGTCGAGTATTGATTCTGTTGGTTAAGATAGATAAACATACATTAGGTACCTTAACAATTGTGAAGTGAACCAAATAAGACGCGGTAAATGCTAAGCGAAGAACTTTCAATAATACTGTTGGACAACTGTAATACCACGATACATAAAAACCGGTATGCTGTGTGTGACGTCATGTGCGAACCAAAAGCTGGCTTGGAATGTTATTTGCACTGCAACGGCCTGGGTGCAATTATTAAGTGTAACAAATGTTAAGAAAAAGTTAAATTGGCAGCAAGCCCTTTTAATACTAATATTACATTACTCAAAATTTTAAGCAACAATACCCAGCAAAACACAAAGATGTCCCTTGGACATCCAAGCAACATAAATCTGGGACATTTGAGTAATCCCCGGGACGTACCGTATTATCCTTAAAAATATGTGGGACGTCCCAAGGAACAGTTTGAGACCTAATTGGGACCATCCTCAAGACATCCAGGGGACATACATTAGTACATATGTTGGGATGTCTTCAGGACTTAATTTTGGATGTCCACGGGGCATTAGAAAATACATCCCAGCTAGCACAAGTCGGTCTTAAGGACATCCTAAGGAAAGCCTTACAGGATATTGGGATATCCCAAGGATATCCTCGGACCTCCTGAGGACATCCCAAACATAGCCAAGTGGTGCAAAAAAGGACAGCCTACGGACGTTCTGAATGTATCTGAACGTCCCACAGGTTATTCTTGTTCTTTGGATATGTAGCCTACATAATGTAGGTCCTGAAGAAATCCTCTGCACTTACACATACTCGATATACTAGCCATTATTCGTTACTATAGCGAATATATATATTCGCTTTTTTCTTAATTTCTTTTTGCAAAAATACTACAAAATTGGTATCGTTAAAAAAATCATATTTTTTGCAAAAAATATTTGTGCACGAATCTTTAAATTATACTCTAGCAAAATTATTGCTAGAATATAATTTGAAATGTTGAATACATTACATTATTTAAATATAAAACGTTTTTAAACTAATTTCCAGTCATTAAAGGTATCAAAACATCGAATAACCATCAATATCAATATTTCCTTTAAATTTAGCGCGCACCCCTTCCAACTTTAATTCTAAACGCTTAAATCATTGCCCGGAAATAGTAATCCCAGAAATTTGCGCTTCATATACATCACACATTGCCGATACAACATCATTCTCCCCACCGCTGCACGGTGCCGCCGGCACCCCCGCAAGTCGGGGATAATACGCGAATTTTTGTAGACATTGAGGCCCACAAAGTTGGGCTTGTACCACAGTATATGGAAGACAGCAGAGTCAGTCCAGAGATCTGTGCGGCTCTCTTATTAGCCGTTGTAAAAGACTGGGCGGGGCGTGGAATGTTTTAGTAAACAAAGCTTATTAATTAGATCTATGCGGGTTTATAGTTTCTTATTTCTGTTTAGTATTTGCCTTGGCGTTAAAATGGAAAGTTGTGATAGAAATGCAAGCGTAAAATACATTATTTTGTTGTGAATTCATGAAAATATAATTCAAAAAATTATAAAAGATCATTTTTATTTTAACACACAAATACCACAGTATAAATCACAAAAAATATAAATAAAAATATTCTTTTTTTTATAGTTCAGTGTTATTAAATCGTTGAGTTTCATATACCTACTGTGCTTGTACATATTATTTTGTTGTTGTGCGGTTGTGCCTTTATTAATCTAAAAATAATTATTGTAAGATAGGTAAAAATGAGCAGTACCTCATGGGTAATGTGGAAACCTGCTGAAGGAATAAATAAAAATCCCACCTCATCCCGCACTTTTTGTATTCTAGCTAAGTTTTGAAAATTCTTTTCGTGAAAGAACATATTTTTAAATAATATATTTTTATTATTTAGATTCTGAATTCATGAAGTGCTGCAAAAACGCGAGACCTTGAAAATTTCAAAAAAATTGCCTGCGGCGCCATATAGTGTCTCATAGGCCTCACCTTCATGAATGGTCACGAGCCGCCACTGGCAATATATAATGGCATTATGCATTTGTTGAATTTATTGAGGATAAAGTTCGTCTTGTAAATTCAGAGGATTTAAAAAAAATTCCATTACCCATCAATTATAAAAAAAAATATGAAGTAAAGTACTTTGATGGTTTTTATTATGTAGCAAAAATTTAGGACAAGTGTATAGTACCTATATAGAAAATATATATTTTCTTTTAGAAGTAGGTACCTAGTAAGCAAAAGCTAAACGGTACCGAGGTAACATAACGCGGGCCGGCTGGGGCAAGCCGAAACGCCGGCCAACCGCCTATGCCGAGCAAAGGTCGACTGTTTGCCGCGTGGTTGGTGCTTACTGGGTAGAATTCATTTTAAAATCTTTAAACAAGATTGCACTGCACTTAAATTTAAACAGCTGTTGGAATGGACACGCCTTTAAAAACCTTTATGCAATAGATGGAAGTAACATGGAATGGCATAAAAATACATGTATGAAACTTTTGGTTATTTCATATTGGAGCCAATTGGAATCAATATGACACATTGCATAAAACTGCAGTAATTGTCAATAGGGACTTGTAATGTAATTCCCTAGTGCCTTTCCAATATGGTCCTAAATGGAATGTCTGTTTCATAAATCATAAAGGTTCGCATTGGAACCAGCAGTGATTTTTATATATGATTTTATAGGGCATTCCCAACAGGGTAGTTAGTCAAAAAAATATTTTTTTCTTGAATAAATAAATCCGTCCGCATTTCTCTTGCAAAGTAAATCCAGTATTGACGGTATAAATGGAGTAGAGGTCGCCATACCAAACATTAATTTTAACCAATGCTTTCCATTTTTCTCGTTTTGATATCACCTTTAAAATAATTATTTTTGTAGTAATACACATGAATTTCATATGGGGGCAAATTTTCGTTAAATGTATACATTTGCTGTCCCCAGCTAATTTTATTTTTATTTTTGACCTTTGTTGATAAGTTTTGTATTTATTATATTTAAATACCTCCTTCCTGTTAGGACCCATCGTATTTTTTTTAAATTACTTTATGTTTCTATTTATATATGGCAGAAAAACTAGGTGAAATGTCCTGTAACCTAACTGTCCCCAGATGCGATTTTTTAATTTAAATTATTATATTCTTCTTCTTTGCAGCTTTCTTCTGAAAAAATAAATT